CAGCAGCAGCACCAACCGCAGCAGCAGCAGCAACAGCTCCAGAGCGCCCACGTGCAGCAGCAGTTCCATGCCCAGCAGCAGCAGCAACAGCACAAACCCGTCGCTTTCAGTGGCGATTCAGGTTTCGCAGAGGGCCCCTTGCATGCGCAGGATGATGCTTGGGGCCCCCAGGGGGCCCCCCTGGGGGCCCCTGCAGCAACAGAAGAGACACAGGGGTCGCTGCACCCTGCTGCGCTGCAGCAGCTGGCAGCTCTGAACAAGTTCTTAAGCGAGGACCAGCAGCAGCATTAACAGCAGCAGCAAGACGACCAGCATGGTTGGCGCAGCAGCTGCTTTGCAAGCTTCAAAGCAGCAGCAACAGCGGTCTTCCCTGCTGCTGCTGCTGCTGCTGCTGTTGCTGCGGCCACACAACTCCCCTACTTCCGAAGACGGCCAGCCCGAGGGCGATGCAACTCGCTGGCCATGCAGTGTTAGCTAAGTAGCTAGCTAGCCATCTAGCTAGCTAGCCAGCTAGCTAGCTAGCTAGCCAGCTAGCTAGCTAGCTGCCCATGATCAAGTTGTCTGCAATGAAGCGCCTCCTTGGACTTTTTAGCGGGCGACGGGAAGCGTTGCCTTCCTGTCAGCAGCAGCAGCTGCTGCGCCTCTGCTGCAGCAACTGCGCCTGCAGCTGTTGCTGCAGCAGCTGCGCCTGCAGCTGCTGCTGCAGTCGCTGCTGCAGCCACTGCTGCAGCCGCTGCTGCGTTTCGTTTCTCTGTACCAGAACCTCCTTATTTTTAGCTCTCTTGTTACTTTTGTTCCGGCCGCTGCCATTGCTGCTGCTGCTGCTGCTGCTGCTGCTATCTAAACTACCGTAGGCAGAAGCGCCACAGGCGCTTGTGCAGGCTTTGTGTGCCCGTGTGCAGTGTACATACACTCGAACAAACAAGCAAAAACTCGAAAATAAGAAAAGGCCTTTTGGCCTGTGGGGCCCCACATAAAAAGCTTTTGGGGCCAATTGCACAAAAGGGGCCCCTAAGCAACAGCCTGGGGGCCCCCATATGTGCCTTTATACCGACAGCCCAGGGTCAGAGGCCCTAGGGGCCCCCAGGTCTTTAAAAGGGGCCCCCAGGTCTTGAAAGGGGGCCCCGAGGACTGTGAGAGGGGGCCCCCAGGCTGTACGTACAGGGGGCCCCCCGGGCTCTTGAGGGGGCCCCCCGGGTTTCAAAGAGGGCTCCGGGGCTTTACAGGGGGGCCCTGAAATTCTAGAGGGGCCCCCCAAACCTCTAGAGGGGGCTTCCCGGGCCCTAGAGGGGGCCGCCCGGGCCATAGAGGGGGCCCCCCGGGGTGTGGGGGGTTCCCTTAATTCCCCTTGAGCTGGGGGCCCTCAAAATGGCCTCGGGGCTTCAGGGTTTAGGGTTTAGAAGGAAAATTTTGAGTCAAAAGAAAGGAGGCAAAAGCTCTCCTGGGTAAGTGAAGAAACAGTGTCTGTTATATCTGTCTACCACTGCATGCACTTCCATCCCCAACTGCTGCGCCTCCACCTGCGGCGACTTGCGCAGCCCCAGACACACGCGCAGCCGGTCTTCTGCAGCAGCAGCAACAGCAACAGCAGCAACAGCAGCAGATGTTTGAACGGTGACACGAACAGCGCAGAGGACAAGAGCAGGGAGGTTGTGGGGGCTACCGGACTAGCTACGTAGTTATTTGGCTAGCTAGCTAGCTGCTTAGCTGGCTACAAGGCTAGCCAGCTAGGTGCGGATAAAGCTAGCTAGCTAGCTAGCTAGCTGGCTAGCTGCAGAGCTAGCTCGCTGCCTCCTCGCGGGCTCTCTAGGGAACGCAAGCCATTGACTGGGCTCTGTGCACTTCGCAGAAGCAGCTCCTAAACTCTGTAGCTAGCTAGCTAGCTAGCTGCACTGTGCCCAGTGAACTATCCGCCCGCAGCCTGGCTAGTCGGGCAGCTAGCTACCCAGCCAGCTAGCTAGCTAGCTAGCTAGCTAGCAAGCTAAGCATGCAGGTAGCTAGCTGACGTGTCTACGTGCACGTGGCTAGCTACAAATTACGACTGCGCTCTTCTACTTGTCTAACTGCTGCCCGCTAACTAGCTAGCCAGCTAGCTGCCAGCTACCAGCTGCTGCTGCACTAGCTAGCCCCTAACCACCCACTGCTGCTGCGTTATCTAGCTACCACTCTAAACGCCAATCTGAAGCAGCAGCACCAGCAGCAGCAGAAGCAGCTGCTGCCGCTGCTGCTGCTGCCGCCGCTGCTGCTGCTGCTACTGCTGCGCTAGCTAGTTAGCTAGATAGCTGTCTAGCTGTCTAGCTAGCTGTCTAGCTAGCTGGCTGGCTAGCTAGCTAGCTAGATAGCTGTCTAGCTGTCTAGCTAGCTGTCTAGCTGGCTGGCTGGCTAGCTGTCTAGCTAGCTGTCTAGCTAGCTGGCTAGCTGGCTAGCTGTGCGGCGGCGGGCTGGACCTTTGAGTCTGAAGGCGATGTCTGCGAGGTCTCTGAACATGGCTTTGTCTTCCATGCGTTTGAGGGCCAACAGCCGAATGACTTGCGAAAAAGCCAAATAAACCAAAGTCAAAATTATGTCCGCCAAAAACACCAAACTCGCCCCCGAACATACCCCGTACCACGGCACCCCACGCAGCTCCTCCATGCCCTGCGCAGCGGCAGCAGCAGCAGCAGCAGCAGTAGCGGCAGCGGCAGCGAATTGGGCGCGGGAGCTGCAGCAGGGGTGAAGGAGGCGCGCAGCAGCAGCAGCAGCAGCAGAACGGGTCACGAGACCCGCAGCAGCCAAAGGGAGCAAAACACTCACCAGCAGCAGCAGCAGCAGCACCCGCAGCAATTTCAACTGGCCAGCACAGCCGCAGCTAACAAAGGCAGCAAATCCCTCAGCAGCAGCAGCAACAACACCAACAACAACGCCAGCAGCATCAGCAGCAAAAGCAGCAACAGCAGCAGCAGCAACAAAAGCAGCAGCAGCAAGTGCCCCACCCCTCCGACGCTAGCAGGGTGAGCGACAGAACCTGGAAAAGTGAAGAAGAGGCAGCAGCACCAAATGCGCACCACCAGGGCCACCAGCACTGACCGCCAGTGAGCCCGCAGCAGCCCATCATTCAGCCTGCAGCAGCAGCAGCAGCAGCAGCAAGAGCCACCGCAGTGGCAGCAGCGCATGCACGCAGCGGCGCAGCAAGGGATCCTCAGACGCGCCGGTGAAACAGCAGCAAAAGAAGCAATAGCAGCAGTAGAAGGAACAGCAGCAGCAATAGCCACAGCAAGATAAGCTTCAGCAGCAGTTCAAGCAGCAGCAGCAGAACAGGCTGCAGCAAGCTGCGCGCCGCACAGAGCGGTCCGTGGAGCTCTCCAGAAGCAAAAACAGCAGCAGCAGCAGCAAAGCGCAGCAGCTGAAACACCAGCAGCCGCAACCCGAAGCAGCAGCAGGAGCGAAACAAAGCAGCTGAAACACCACCACAAACAACAGCAGCAGCAAAACGAAGCAGCTAAAACACCACCACCACCACCACCACCACCACCACCACCACCAACAACAACAACAACGCCAGCAGCAGCAGCAGCAGCAGCAGCAGCAGCAACAGCAGCAGCAGCAGACCTGACGGCCTTGATGAGGTTGGGGCCAATGAGCAGCTCGTGCACCGAAAGCGGCGCCACCATAGCGCGGCAAGAAGTGAAGAGCATTAAACTTGCCGTTGAAACTGTTTCTGTTTCATCCCCTCGCGGCACTTCGTCTATTTCTATACAGCACAACAGCCAGCAGCAGCAGCAGCAGCAGCTGCAGCAGCAGCAAAAGCAGCAGCAGCTGCTGCTGCTACTGCAGCAGCAGCAGCTGCAGCTGTAGCAGGTGCAGGAGCTGCAGCAGCTGCGGGGGCTTTTATGCAGCAGCTGCTGCAGGGTTTAGGGCCTAGGGTTCACGAGCTTGCGGTTTGAGACTTCGGGGGAGTTCCAGTTAGGGTTTATGGTTTAGGGTTTAGGGCCCCATGTTTAGTATTTAGGACTCCACCCCAAGAGGGAGCCTGCAGCATTCTAGCAACATTTAAGGGTTTAGTGCAAGGGTTTAAAATCCACAAGCGAGAAACCACGAGGCAGAGCCCCGCCTGGAAGCACTAGGGTTTAGGGTCTAGGGTTTAGGGTTTAGGGTTTGCTGACGGGCGAAGTCGATTTCGGGGCGCCCCTGTGCGCCGCTTTGGGTTTTGAAACTTTTGGCGTCTCCAGAAATTGGAGGAACTACATAAGTTACAGTTTGTCTTCCGAGAAGAACAGAAATAAAGGGGTAAAGAGATACCAAAATGCCCAGCAACTGCGCAGCAACCAGACCCTAAACCCTAAACCCTAAACCCTAAGCCCTTTACTCCGGACTCTTAGATTTAACCCCTAATCACTTAGCCCTGAACCCCAAACCCTAAACCCTAAACTCTATGTCCTAAACCGTCAGCCCTGCAGCCTAAACACCGGGTCCTAGATGCTGAACACCAAATGCCAAACCCTAAACCCCAAACCCTCGGCATGCTACAAACCCTGACTGCTACGCTATAGATCCCAGCCTACAAACCCCAGGAAGCGAGGCAGGAACTGTGCTGCTCTCTATGGCAGCGCCGCGTGCAGCAGCAGCAGCAGCTGATGCAGCAGCACCAGCAGCAGCAACACGTACGCCGCAAGCACCAAAATCACAAACGCTCCTTCCCCACACTAAAATCACTTTAGCTAGCAGCAGCACCACAGCAGCAGCAGCAGCAGCGTTACACTAGCAGCAGCATTAGCATTAGCAGCAACATCAGCATTGGCAGCAGTATTCACATCCTCAGCAGCAGCACTAGCAGCACAAGCATTGGCAGCCTTAGCACGAGCAGCTGTGTTACCCCCCCGCAACAGCAACAGCCCTAGCAGCAGCAGCAACAGCAGGAGCTCTAGCAGCAGCAGCAGCCCCAGCAGCAGCAGCAGCATCAACCCCAGCAGCCCCAGCCCCAGCGACAACCCCTTCACCCCAGCCCCCTCAGCAGCCCCAGCAGCAGCCCCAGCAGCAGCAGCAGCACCCGCAGCAGCAGCCCCAGCAGCAGCAGCAGCACCCGCAGCAGCAGCCCCAGCAGCAGCAGCAGCAGCAGCAGCAGGAGCTGACGGGCTCGAGGGCGAAGACGAAGAGGCAGTACTTTCCGATCTCGGGGAGAGTGTTGGAAGACTTGAGTTGGAAGAGATCGGCGAAGACTCCGAAGTCTCTGAAGGAGAGCAGCGCGAGGAAAAAGGAAAGAAGCCGCAAAGCCCCGAAGAGCGCGGAGAAGCAGCAGTCCAGCAGCGGCGCAGCGCATGCAAACAGCAGCAGCAGCACAACGAAGTTCGACCCCACAAGCACTAGCGCCACCCGCGTTTCGATCCCCATCGATCCCCAGCTGAACCCGCCGCCCCGCATCCGCTCCAGAGAAAACTGCCCTATTTCGAACGACGCGTAGTGCTGCAGCAGCAGCAGCAGCAGCAGCAACAGAAGCACACGCGAATGAAGCAGCAGCAGCAGCAGCAGCACCAGCAGCAACAGCAGCAGCAGCAACAAGCAGCAGCAGCACCGCCACCATCCTCAGCAGCAGCAGCAGCAGCAGCAGCAGCTGACGTCGTAGAAGAAGAAGACGGTGGCGGTGAGCGTGACTTTGGAAATCCAACTGGCCATGAAGGGAAAACTCAGTCGAGTACTTTGCGAAAAAGTCACCGGAAATCCTCTCCCCAGCAGCACAGCAGCGCCGTGGCGAGAGCCCAGTTGCTGCGTCCCACACCCGGGTGTACGTACACCCCAAACAGCACCCCACAACCAGGTGTACGTACACCCCAAGCAGCACCCCACAACCCGGTGTACGTACACGTATACCCCAAGCTGCTCCCCACACCCAGGTGTACGTACACCCCAAAGCAGCACCTCACAACCACAGGTGTACGTACACTAGCAGCAGCA